TATTGCAGGGCTGAGGCCTTTCACAAATTATGAACACACATATTTCTGACACAATTACAAGCTTTTGTCTCTACCTGGGCAGTTTCTTTCTGGGCAGCATATTATATGTTTGAGAGCACAGCTGGGGCATTTTGACAATATGGCTGAGCAGATCAATGAAGTGGGGAGGTCTCACTGTCCTCACTCTCCTTTCTCCTGGACACGTGATCCCTCTTCTCCATGTGCCAGCTGAGCTCCAACCTGACAAACAACTATCTTGACAAAAAAAACCTCTGTCAGGTTAGCAAATAAAATCAGCTTCATAAAAGGCCCAGTGAGCATCAAAGATGGTGCAGAGGAAGTAGGGCTCTCTGGTGGGTAGGAATAAAGGGGCAGAGGGAGGAGGGGGGAGGCAGGACCTCCCCTTTTAGAAAAGCATTTTCTAGCTTAACTCAGCCACAGCGTCAAACCCAGTCCTAAAAAGTTATAGCCAGTTGCATGACTGATGACTGTAAAATCAAATTGTGCTATGCTACATTTCTCTAAGAATTTATGAAGGGAGACAAAAGAGAGTGGAGAAAATCTGTCATCTCCTTGAATAGTATATATATAATGTATGTGTTCTCATCAGGTTTTCTAGTTAATAAGCCAGTACCCGCAGTAGTTCAGTAAAGAAAAAGCAAAGGCTGCACAGAGATGTTCAGGAAAACCAAAAGATTGATTGTATACTTTTCATCAGCAGGCAATGTTCAGCCACCTCCTGGGAAGCAGGTCGTCAGTATGCATAGAGATTGCTCCGGAAGACAAATGCCTTAATGATTATTGCCCCCTCCTCTCCTCCTTTCCCTTAGCTTTTATTTCCGAGCAGAAGTCATATGGTATGGAATATCCCTTTGGTCAGCTTAGTTCAGCTGTTGTGGCTATGTCCCTTCCCAAACTCTTGCCCACCACCAGCCTACCAGCCTTTGGAGGAGGGCTGCTGGAGAGACAGACTTGATGCTGTGCCAGAACTACTCAAGCAGTAGCAAAACACTGGTGTGTTATTAACACCTTTCTAGCTATAAACACAAAGCACAGCCCTATGAGGGCTGCTTCGGTGAAAGTTAACTCCATCCCAGCCAGACCCAACACACTTACCCAACCCAATCCTTCCTGAACTTGCCAAAGCCGAAAAACACCAAACTGCACTCTGCAGAACCCAGGCAAGCTGCCTAACCCACCAAACTACACGATGTCACTAAGTTTTTATGACTAATACTTATACTTAGTTTTCTTTATTGAAGAAAAGTATTACACAAGGGCTCCAAGAGGTCTGTGAGAAGTGCATAAACGCCAGAAGTGTTTCTGAAATTACCACTCCCACTCAAGTGCATGTTGCAGATTGCCACAGTGCTGGACAGTCAGGAATGTTGCTGGATGCTGGATGAAAAAATGGGGTAAGGAACTAAGAGAATATGAAAATCTTACCTCCATTGTACAGAGCTGGGCTATAGAAACATATATAGTCTTCTCTTTAGTATGACAGTTAAACATGCACGATTATTAAACAAAGTTCCCAAAACCTTTATCTGGGATTATACATATGGGAGAAAAGCAATAGTGCATGGAAAGAAGAGCGCAAGTTCAAGGCACCTGCCCCACTTGGCACTCTGGCAACCTGTACTATTCTAAGGAAGAGGTCAACAAAATAGAGCTTTATAAACTCAGTGACAGTTACCACTAACATGGGCAACAGCACTCTGAAGAGGTGTCTGAAAGGTGGGATTATAGACCTATGTCTGTTTCCTTTCTTCCCATTTTTTCCCCAAAAAACTCCCTTCACTTGCACACATCAGCAAAGACAGCCAGGCAAGCTGGAGGAGCACTGGCCAGACCTGTCATGCTGGTGCTGCTCAACCATCAAAACCACAGGGCTTGAGGGTATCATGGTCTCCCTAACTGCCATAAAGCACTTTGTTCCCACCATAGGCAGCACCTCAGCTTCACAAAGGCAAAATTAAGCCTTTCACATTTTTCACTGATATGCCAAAAGCTCAAGAGTGAGAAAATCTAACACCCCTGCACACATGAACCAGCTCTGACGGCTGCCTAGATCTGCAATGAATACATGTCCTGCAGGCAATGAAATAAACAGTGGAACCAGACAACTCCAAAGAGCTGACGCAAGTGTCATGGTTCAGTCTTCAAAAAAACACTTTGATTTAAGGTAGATCTGTAATATATCAGCACTCTGACTTCCAAGGATCATTCACAGACTTCTCTACAGAGGCAACATGTGGGAACACAAGTTGGAATAAATCACCTGATTCAGCCAAGCCACCTGCTATTACGAATAACCATATTGCATAAGCCTGTTAATGAACTAATCAAGATACTTTTTAATAGCAGTTACTTCTTTGGCTCTCACTGTTCTTACTGGGAGGTGATCAACCCTTCAATTGCTTTAATGGAAGCTACAATGTCCCCTCTCAGAGAGAAGACAGTAGGATGGGGCTTTGATGCCCCTGCCAATGGTAGGAGGGGTTGGAACTCAGTATCTTCAAAGGTCCCTTCCATCCCAAACCATTCTATGATTCAATAATTTTATTCCTTCTCAGACTTCTTGCCAGGGTAAAAAAGATTATTTTTGAGGTATCTTCTTGTAAGAAAGGTTACTAGAATAGTAAGAATAGAGCTTTTCTTTGCTTCTGCACTAATTATAGTTCATGTTTCTTGAATATGAATGAGTAGAACTTAACAAATTATTTTGATGTGTTCATAGAACTTTGCATAACATCATTATCACTCCTCTAATTCTGCTAGAAATAATTCAGCTGAGGCAAGCCAAAGCTCCTAGGATTGTACTTGCCAAAGTAATTTGCTTGTGTTTCCAGCTAATGAGCTTCTGGCTGAAACACTAATTTTTGTTATTAGTCCACTCTGAGTCCTCGCATTCCATTCCATTGGATTTGCATTTTGTACTACTGAATTTCATTCTGTTTACATTACTGTAGTTCTCAAGGTCACCCAGTTTTTCCCATAAAACACTTCGACACTGAGCGTGCACTTTGCATGACCAGGAAATTTCATCACCATATTCCTAGCTTTTGTTTCCAAGTGATTAAAACGGGTATTAAAGATTCAGATCCAACTCTACCCTGAGGAATTTCAAAGCTAACCTTCTCCTACACAAGAGCTTTCCTTTCATTGCTAGTGTCATTACTGACTGAGGTACAGTCCTACAAATCCTTTTCTAAATCTCACTTTTCAATCTCATAGTTTCCTATGTGTCAACAAAAGATACGCTTCACTGAAATTAGATGAGATTTCCTGCACTTCTACACAGACAGGTATCAGACTAGTCAAGCTTAAACTACTTCAGCATTTAATTCTACTCTCCCTTTATTTCTGTATTTGTATTTACCTTAAAAGACCTGTCCTGAAGTTCTGTGAATTTTCTAAACTACTCTGCACAGTGCATACTTGCCTGCATCTTTCCCCTTTAACATATTTTCTATATATACAACATTCTTGAGTCATCTCATAATATTCAAGAACAAACAGGTTTTATAATTACATGCTCTGCTTTTTTATATCGCTTCTACACAGCTATGTGATGGAGATTCCCCATTTCCCAACATTAGCATGGGAACTCAACAAATCATTTGTAAAAAGAAATCTTGTGTGAAACATTGAAAAAATAAAAACCCCAAGTGATGTATAACTGTACAAATCAATGCAGGCAAAAAGTTAAACATCTACTGAAATCTGTACAGTTTTATGAAATGAAAAACAACTCTGAAACCCGACTCTGTGTGTTGCTGTGTGTTAGCTATTTGGGGCACTGTTCTCAGATTTGTAGGCAGTATGTAGCGGCCTGGCTTTGTGTCACTGTTTCTAAAACACCCTTGTTTTTGTGGTTCTCAGATCTTTAAAATTATATTCTGGTATTGTCTTACAAAGATTGGCTTTAGCTTAGATGTTTGCCAATTCATAATTTCATCTGCTTCAAAGATGTTCTGAAGTTTAAAACCAAATGTTTGTTAACTGAAATATCTTATTTCTCAGATATACAGTTTCAAGTTATAAACTTGGGTTTATTTCTTCTATTCAAGGAGTAAAATTCTCACAAACCTCGCAAAATTATACACATTCTCAACAAAATAAAAATGCCAAGCAAACACACACAGCTTTTGTGAGAACAAATGATTGTAAACAAAAACTACTTTTTTTTTTTCTGCTGATAATTGTTTCTAAAGACATACAAAGTTTTCAGATGGCCTTGCAGGGCTTGCTTGTCCAACTTCATTCTGTAAATCTGAGGAAAATACTTGAAAAGAAATTACCTACATACATAGATGTAGCACCACATCTAGCTGTAAGAAAAAAACCCAAATAGAGAAATAACAGACCTAGTTCAAAGACACAGGGTGTTCCATTATATTAAATAGAATTGACTTTCAAATATTCTTTTTACATGGACTTGATCCTATGTCTGCTTCTTAACAAAGCCTGAAATGTCTCTTAAGTGTTTCCTCTGGAGTTTCTCCTTTCAACTCTGTGTCTCTTTTCATTAGACACAAAACCTAGTGGATATTTACTAAAATATAGGCTGATTATTCCAATACTTAAACGGTGGGGCAGACACATGATTTTATTTAAAACACTGGGAATTACAATTTTTGAAGAAATGTTCCATTTAAAACTCAAATTCAAAGATTACATACAGTTTTGGTGATGATATGATACAGACATATTCTATAATCCTAGGTAATAGGAATTTTGTGTCAGCAGTAGCTTGCCCACAGCTTAAGTTTCTAGGTGGATACTTGCAGCAGGGCGGCACTCCACATACTCTACTTCTTATTACTTAAGTAATTCCCACGTTATTTGCAGACACAGAGTTCAAGGATGAAAGGAAAAATCAGAACATCTAGTACCATCTGCACATCTGGGGCTAGTACATTTCATCTATTTATCCAAATAATTTGAGATAATACGTATCATCCAGAAAAAGGGCAGAAGTAACCGCGTGATCTTACCAGGCTCTGTTCTTAGGCAGCTTGCACAGATTTCAGAAACCTTCTTTGACTCCAAATCTCCTGGCTGAAGTGCAGGGTTGTGGCTTTCCCCCTGTCAGTTGACACCAAAAAAATATCTTGTGTCAATTTTCGGCTTATGACTTGCTTCTCCTTATAGATACCTACCATAAAGTCCTTATTTAGACATTTTCCCCGATAATTTATCTTGGCAGAAGCATGATGCTCAGAACAGAAAGGGTATTGTTTACTTTTAAGTTTCTGATTTTCTGGTTTGAGGGTCTGGTGATTTGTTCCTATGACTTTAACCCCCATATGAAAAGGCTTTTAATAATTTTTCTCCTTATGCCATTACTTAAAAATTAAGTCACTTATTCTTTCTAAATAATCAGACTGATTCTCCTCACATTAAGACTCTGAGTTCAGCTCCTCCACAAATACTGTAGATCTCAGCACTCTTCTATTTTTTCAGCATTCATAAAATGTAGGAACATACTGAATGTGTAAGAATGCGTTTTGTAATGATGTACAGAGAGATTGTAGGCAAAATTACCCTGTTACAGAGGCAAGCTTGTTGAGATCTTATGTTAGCCTACACCATCACACTGACAGTATCCAGTTGCTCATCTTCTCTGAAGCCTCAGCAGCTCTCACAGTCAGGGACACAGCCTCCACTCTGTAAAACTTACCTTCATTACTCACTCCTTGCTATCTACCATTTTGTACCTAACTATGTTTAACACACTGTGTGAATGGCTCTAAGCTATCATGTGACACAAACTGCCATGGAGGATTGCCACTTTCTCATCCTATTTACCTCCATGACAACTGTTGGTCACTTTACTCAGGAGTGATTTCATTATTTCTTTCATCATCAGGAATTAATCAAGCAACAGCACATGAGGTATTGCTCTCTCCAGAGGTCTTTTGGAAACACCTCTAAAGAAACACTATTAGCACTGGAGATTTACAGTGTATTTTAATCCATTCTTGAAGCACTTACTGTTTTAAACAGAACTCTGAGCAGAAAATTAAGACGGTTTTCAAAGAAAAGATATGTTAAGGAGTATTATATCATTAATGTAACTCAGACCTTCAAGAACCCTTACAAAGAAATATTGCCTTGGGATTTAAAGTGGTCACTGTACCTCAAGAAAAGTTTTAGGATGCTTTTCCATTTTGGAATTGCTGTGGTTAACAAAATCAAATTCAGAATCACCTGACATAATCTAAATTTCAGCTATTCTATGTTAGATCCTGTGACATATGCTGATCTAGCAAAGCCTGATTCTGCTAAAAAAAAATTGGCTTGCCTATGTTCTTACACAGAACTCAACAGAACTATATCTACACCTAATGCCTCTGCCTGCTAGGTCATATCTATTCTCCGTGGAAGCTGAGAAGATTAGAGGATATAATTCTCATATAGAAACAGCAATGCATATTTTAAACAAACAAAAAAAAACATTCAAGGACATGAACAAGATGAAACTGCACTCATACTGGGTCCTTTAAAAAGCTTATGAAAAGCTCTTTGTCTATTAAAAAGTCTGAAATATATCTACATTCAGAAGAAAAGCAGTGTTTTCCCGTGAAAATACTTGGTGGAAAATTGTAAGACCGAACAAAAATTTTCAGGATAGAATGATTATTCATTTTGTTTTCCTAAAGAACTAGCACAACAATATCAATCCTCAGAGTTGGCCTTTCAGAGTCACCATGATAGATTTTTTTTAAAGAACTATGTAGCTGTTTAACTATATATTCTTCTGACCAAATTTATTCTTGTTGACTTCTGGTGAGTTGTAACAGGGTCAGGCTATTTTTAAGTTTTAGAGATCAACTGAAGATTAAATTAGTTAATAGTTTTCTAGCAGAAAGCATACCTGTAAATCAGTATTATTTCGGTATGTCTCCAGGGGATCTCGATGTTCAGCTTTAACTGGACTTTTGAACAAACTGCACTTTAAGTGCACCTGCAGTCTTCATTGTTTGGTGCTGTGCCGTGTTTTACTGTATCATGTGCCTTGCCTGTGGAATTCTCCAACTAGCTAAACAAAGAAACAGAGTCTTTGCTTGACTGTAAAATTAACACAGAGTCTTGCCTATGTATTTTTAACTTCAGTGGTCTATTTTAGGCAACACAGAAGACAGCTTCAGTGCGAATTGTCAGTTGATTTCAGTTTATGTTTTAGATGGGAAGAAATCTGTTTTGTAAGACACTCCAGAATGTTTGCATTAATTGATTCTCTAAAGGAAAATATGAACGAATTTTTTGAGACAAATCTCTTTAGCACAGTTGGGGACCAAGGCATCACGAAACAAAAGGCGGAGAGGGGCATGGACATCATCTGCCCCATGTGGAACGCTGCGCTTGGCAGGCCAGCAGCTGCAGTGACACACATGCTGCTGCTCTGCATTGTGTCTCGAGTATTGAGAAATGCTCACGCAGCCTTTGGGCTAGGACAGTAGCCAAGAGCTAACTCTTAAGCTACTCTGTAGCTTAGCAGGATCGTGCCGCCTGATTAACAACGCATTCTGCGGACGAGGACGCCCGGACCTGACTTTCAGGGTGGATAGAGAATTAGCCTCCCACCAAGCTCAGGGTGGGAGGTTCCTTGTGGGGAAAGCAGCAGAACCAAGGAGGCAGGTTTTAATCTACGAGTGCTGTATCAAACCCAACAACTGTTTTCAGAATGGCACTGATTTACAAAAATGTTTCTTGCTTCAACTTAACCCTCACTAGTGCCTACACTAGCAGGCTGTGAACTGGATTAGGAAATAAAAGCAGGCAAGTTTAACTAAGTCTATTAAAATTAGGTAGCTGAAATAAAAAATGAATAAATGCTAACTCATTAATTCATCGATTTAATCCTTTAAATGTTTCCCATGAGGTAGTTTATATGGAATTTAATGAGCTATGAGTTATCAGTCATTGGATACTGACTGCTCAACATTCAGGAAGCTGAATAAACAATATAGGTGCTTATTTCATTCTGGTAGCACAACAGGATTGAGATTATTAGTTAGGAAAGAGACAGGACATTTTGAGCAAGGGAGAGGCAACCATTCTAGTTACACCAGTCTGAAGTTATTCCCATAAAACTCACTATAATATTAACTTTTTCCTTATATGGATTAGAACAGAGGAAAATACCTAAAGCATGGTATGATATATAAACCAAAATAGGGCACAGGATTTTAACATGCAAAGTTACTCCAACTGTAGAGCAGAATATGGGGTCAGTATGGCTAATGTCATTTGCTGTCTTCAAAAGAAATTTCTAGAGAGAGAGAGAGATTGTTAGAACAACTTCCAACCTATTTATAAATTACAGATGTCAACCTGAAAAAAAAACACTTCACATTTTGTCATAGAAGATAATTTTCTTCTGGCCTTTCTTGGTGATGCTGAACAGTTAAGTCAGTTTATGTGGTATGGTTCTACTACTTGAATTAATTTCAGCAGTCCTACCCAATAAACTCCAGATATTTGTACCTTCTCTGTAGCATCTTTTCCAGTACTCATCCGAACCTGCAATGAATCAGTTCAAGGAACTAAAACCAATCACTTTTCTCTCTGTAGAGGCTTGTTGTTTTTTTTTTTAACCTTATCTCTTTGGACAAATCAGATGAGTATCAGTGAAAGAACAAGTGAGGAGGTGGAGATGGTTTAAACTCTTATGCAATCACATTTAAATCCAACCTGTTTAGAGTACCCTTCCTTCAGGCAAAAGCTAAGGATAATCCCTGTGGAGTTTTGATTCAAGTATGAGGATGTAGCTAAAAGTTAACATCAAGGTGACAATGTAAAAGCCGATGGAAAACTAGTTCTTTACTGACTGCTATCAAAGAATTATTAAAATATATCTAGCTTTTATTTGTAGCCATTAAGGCTGGCCTTACACAGTCACTGGCCTATTGAACCTACTAAGCCATCTGTTAACAGCAGTTAGCTGAAAAGCAAAACACAAGATTGGAAATGCAGTAAAGGCATTTTTTATGTAGCCACGAATATCACTTATCACCTGCAACAAGTTCCCCTCATGCCTGTTTAAATGAAGACAGCTCACGCTACAAATGCTAGCACAGCTGTGATGACATACCCAGACTTTCATGGAGTTACTAGGCAAGAGTTGTAAAGAGAGTCCATCACACAACTGAAGAAGAGCTTCCAAACCTGGGTGACCTGTGTCTCAGCTACCTGTCTCCAGAAAACAGCCACACAGATCCCTGTGAACTGGGAAAAGTTAGTTATTATTTGTGGGAACCAAGGAAAGACTTTCTTGAGAGGATTAAAATCAGCTAAATACACAAACAGCACTTTTCTCAAATATGTTTGTTACAGTTAATTAGCAGTAGGATCCCCACACAATGAGATACCATAAGAAAAGTATGAGAAGTAAAAAATTTGGGAACATGATGTTGATCCTTAAGCTGCGGCTACTGGTCTTCTCACAGTCAGAAGAAGAAATCTTTAAGGTCTGGTGGAAAAAATGGTAATGGGTGTGTGGTGTGGGTGGTCAAAATCCTACAGATTCAGTGAAAATTGTCTCCTAATAAAGGTATCTAACCCATACACTCTAGACCATATCTACCTGGTTTTGGATGCATAGTACATATAAAGTTGTGATTTCTTGTGTATAGAAACTTGAAATTTCAGGTTTGTGTCAAGTACCATCTATTACTAGTCATCAGAATGAAGGCAGCAGTTCCTCAGTTACCAGGGTCACAGTCCTCAGCTCAGACACACACGCCATACAAGGAGTGTAGGTTATACTGACCTCTCTTTCAACTGCTAGTAATTCTACAACACACTGATGTAGACCAATACAGCTATCTCAGGAAGCTTTCCTAACTAAACTTTCGGCCCTTCCCATACTGCAGTTTCCTACTTACAGAGTTGGGTTGATACAGCTGCTTATGGGTCTATGAGGCAATCATGGAAAGGGTGTATACTAAAAAGTAACCTACAATTTTTCTTAAAGCCTCAGTCATCTCAGTGATTCAGTTTAAACTGTCACTAAACAAACAGCTATATTGGCACGACACAGTGATAGGGGTAGGAAATAAAATCTTAGGGCTGGAATTTCT